GAACCAGGGGTCCAGGGGCACCTCTGCAGCCTGAAGCTGTGCTAGAGCTTAGTATTGGATCAGGATCAGGTCAATGGTCGCCCCAATAGCAGCAGCTTAGCCTGTAATCGTTCGTAGTCCAGCCACTTGTTGACGTCTGCTGTCTGTTCACTATTCAACTGGGCTAATAAAGTATCGGGACTTTTTAAGTTTGCAAAACTCTACTACATTGTATATAAGGAGGTGATACTGACCTGCTCCAAGACTTGTCTTAGTTGTCTCCTGTACATCCCCCTCGTTGAATTGACTTGCATCTGTCTAATCGTTGACTTTATAACTCAAGGCTCTCTCGCTTTCACTCAATCGTTTATTACTTACAGTACAAAGATCATTCGCACCTACACCACACATTCAAGATGAAGGCTACTTTCTTCCTCGCTGCTGCTGGCCTCGTTGCCGCTCAGGACTTCGGCGGTCAACCCGAGTGTGCTGTAAGTCACCTAGTCCATCCAATGACAGCACCCAACTAACATTCATCCCACAGCTCAAATGTCTGCAGGAGAACATCCCCAAGGCCGGCTGCAAGCTCGAGGACACCGCATGCCAATGCGCCTCCGATTTCCAGGAGAAGCTCCTCCCCATCATCACCCCTTGCTTGACCAAAGCCTGCGAGGCTTCAGACCTCCTCAAGGCTCAGTCCGCTGCCGCCGATGCCTGCAAGGAGTTTGCTAAGACGGCCGGCTCCAGCAAGCCTACCGCTACCTCTGCTGCTGCCACCAGCGGCGCCGTCACCGTCAGCATCGACACCTCCGTCACCGGCTCCGCCAGCGTCCCCGCCATCTTCTCCAGCATCCCTGAGGAGTCCACCGTTGTTCCCGTTACTCCCCACCCCGGCAACGGAACCACCAAGACTCACGGAGCTTCCACACCCACTGGGACTTCTGGCTCTGGTTCCGGCAGCGAGAGTGGCAGCGCCAGCAGCGTTCCTACCGGTAACGCTGCTGCTGTGGCTGGCCCCGCCTTGGGTCTCCTCGCTGCCCTCGGTGCTGTCCTTGCTCTGTAAGAGCACTGACTGATATCTGTTTGTGTATAAACTCATCTTCACCACGGAGCATTTCATGGGACGCAGTCAATTGACATTTACGATACAAGGAAATTAATAATGCGTTGCTCAAAGATCCATGGATAGTGTATCACTTGTTTTGTTTCTTCTTCTTCTTCTCCCAGGGGTACCCACGGTTGATTAGCTTGCCATCGAGAGTGATGGGAAAAGTAGTAATAGACATGTACCAGCTTAGTTAGTAATAAACAAGCATCGAACCCATCGGTTTTCAGTTGATGTGTATCTATGTTATGATTCGTAGTGATAATGATGTATGCGTATGTATTCGTCCATGATCTATCACAACGGTCCAGCTCTCAGCAAATCGACATCAATCAGCCACGGCAGCTGTATAGGTCTATATCTGATATCCATAATGGCCGCGTTGACAAACAATGTTTGAACCCCTTGAATCACGCGACTGTCACCCTGAGTGAGGTCCAGATGTGCAGCTCTTTGCTTGCTCATCTCGATTAGCTTCACCCTCGTTGCATTGGCCTCTTGCTCGTTCTGCGTCACGCGATTTGGTCGTAACCCCTTGAGCCCGACTCTTCTTGACAGTTTCTCATCAATGTCATTGCCCTTCCATGTCACATGGTGCGTCCCCCAAGCTTCATGAATATGGCCGAAGCAATGGATCTTGGGTTTGGCACGGGCGACTGCGGCACGGAGATCGGGACAGCCAGCGTGGGTTCCAGTCATGCCTGCAAAGTCGCAGATACCTTGCGGGGGACCGTGAGTAATGGCCACATCGGTTTCCTTGGGGATGTTGAAATCGTGCCCATTGTCATATTGAAACGCCCAGCCACCATACGAAGGAGTCCACGGGCTCGCATACACTTTCAATAGAGCGCCATTTTGCAGGGTAAACACATGCACGCCCTCTGTCAAGTGTCGGACACCATCTTTCTCAGCCTCCTGAAGGATAGTCTTGACCTTGTCGAGCGTGTCCGCTGGACCACCAAACTCATTGATCCAATAATCATCATGAAGCGCCATGTCATGGTTGCCTGCAATGACCAGCTTGAGAGGGGCGTTGATAGACCGTAGCACAGAGAAAGTATTTTCAAATTCAGGAATTGTAGTTCGCTTCGTCAGGTCTCCACAATGTATAGCCACGTCGGCCTTGGGTAGAGACTCTCTCCAACCTGTCGTCACACGCGAGACATCCTTTTCGTTGAGCTCATCATCAGTGGTAGGTCCGCCATTGTCTTTGGGCTTTGGTTTCGACCCATGCGTGTCGGATATGATAAGAATGCGAGTCTTGACATGTTGAGTAGCAGGTGTTTCGGACATTTTAAAGAGAGTTGAAGTTGATCATGGGAACACAATATTTATTAGGGTATGTTGATGAGTTTGAGCGTGTTGGGAGACTTTTGAGTGGATGATGCTTTCAGTGGGGAGAGTAGTTCTATTTCAGCAGATGATAACTATCAATGTAAATAAATTTGAAAGAATTGTGTTGCCTTAGTAGGTAAGGTAGGTAGTTTAGTTTGTGTTTGCGTTTGTGGATTGCAGTTTACACCATCAGAGGTAACCTTTCATGTCTACCTACTCGTTAAGAGCTCGGGCTGAGTATTCAATGCCTCCCAAGGACAGAAAAGACGAAGCCTAGCGTCTGCGTTGTGTTGAAGAATAACGTTGTAAGGGTATGAGAAGAAGACATAAAAGTGCATAGAATATAGACCTATTACAACAGCACAAGAGTAAACTTTGTATAGAAACTAGGAGGAATTAAAGTCAATTGTTAACAAGCTCTCCCTACCTTATTATTGACTGTTTTCTTTTTCTTTTCTCCTCAACCTAATTGACTCCATATCAAATGGAAGGTGGGCCGGGCCTTTCAACTGCGCGACCCCTACCCCAATTGCACTCCTCCAAACACAGCATCCAACATCCTCCTACACATCACCACCACTCAACTCCGAACTCTACATTCCATTGTTCGCAATTGACCTCTCTCGATACAGCTCCTGCCTGGAATATGGCGACGGAAGATTCTCAAGACATCCCAGTGGGATCGCCTCCCGGACCGCCTGCTGAAGTAGACCGAGAGCCCAAATACGGTGGCTATTCACGATTCGAGGTTGAGCTCGAGGTTTGTTTGCATTCTCATTTAGTAGCGCTATGATCCCATAACTAACAGATATTGCGCGCAGTTTGTTCAGTCCCTCGCAAACCCGGCCTATCTCAACCATCTTGCCTCCCAGAAGCTTCTCAGCCAACCCGCCTTTGTCGCATATCTTGCCTACCTACAATACTGGAGCAAACCGCCATATCTCAAGTACCTAACGTACCCCGGCCCGACACTACGACATCTCGAGCTGCTCCAGCAGGAGACGTTCCGGCAACAGATCATCAGCCCTGATGTCGTGAGGGCTCTGATGGAGGAGGGCATGAAGGCATCAGTCGATTGGCACCGAGAGAGCTAGAAGGTCCCTCCCAAGCTGAACAGCCCTTCACAGGACGATACGAAAGGCACGGGTAACAACAAGAGGAATCAGGATGACGCTGTGAATGAAAGTATGCCTGACAACCCTCGAAAGCGGAAAACCCCACGCAAGAAAAAGAAGCATCCCGTCATCAAGAACAGTGCGACGCCTGGTGGAACAGATTCTTAAACACCCCTAAAAGACAAGCATGATGACCCAACTCCGTTTCTCCTTGCACAAAGAAAACCCCTTCGCTACGAAATCCAAAGCAATCCTCCCCCAAACTCAGTTTTCTCTCCACCGGTGACCACAGGTCATGCACTTGTAAAAACTCGTCATGGGCTCATCAGCACTGCGAATCTGGACCTGGAAGAATGCTGCCTCGTCTCCCTCGCATCCCTCATTAGGGCACTGAACACGACCCTTTTGCGCATTGTCCCAGGCGCCAGGACCGCCAAAGACATCTTCCTTCTCGACACGCTCATATATCCGTCGCGAAAAGACGGGCTCGGTGATGTGATGTTCGAAAGGGCAAGTTCGGCATTCGAGACGGTTGGTTCGTGTATTTGTGAGGGAGACGGTGAGGATGTTTGCGCAATGGGGACAGACTGAAGATTGTTAGTTTGGGAGAGGTGCATTAATTTCGGGGCACCTACAGAGTAACATGATGACGGTTGCTATGCTCGTGGGAGAGATAAACGGTTTAGTTTGGGGGCGACGTTGGCTTGCTCACGATGAGCCCTCTTATTTGGTAGTTGTCGTGGATTAAGGTGCGGTTGAATAGACAAACGATCTTGAATTGAAGTTCGAATGACCACTAATTTTTTTTTCCGTCTTACCACAGAAGCATGAAGCTGCTTGACTTGATCTGGTTGGTCCCACTATTGCCCAGGCTGGTCTGGCAGTTCTAGCGCCATCCTCTCCCCGCCATTTCCGCCTGAGCTCCCTGCCTGGGCATCACAGTGCCCCTCCAAACACCAACGAAACATGAAACACTCAAAACCTAGCACAGTCCATCCATATTCACTGCCTCCCTTGAGCCACAACGACACGACCAGCCTGTGCTTTCTCCGTTTCTCGCCTGCGGGTATTCCCTAGGAGTCTTCTAAATTACCAACGGGGTTTCTCAGATTCTTCAGCGCTTAACTTCGTCATTGCCAATCCGAACTTATAATACCCCGCTCCCGCGAACTCCAATTTGACTTGATATTCAACAATTCTCAACATGGCTGGAGATGAAGAGCACGATGTGAGTTGCATCATGCTTGGCACAGAATACTCCCAGTAGATCGGCGAATTAACACAAACTCCGCAGGGCGCCACCGTCCAGGAGATCCTGATCGAGGCCTGCCGCCGTAACAACCTCGATCTTCTCAACGACTGTCTCGAGGACAAGTCCGATGCCGAGATCTCAAAGCTCCTCAACGAGACCACAACTGTCATGGGCAACCATCTCTACCACGAAGCCGCCTCCCGCGGAAACTGTGCGCCTCACATACCTTCATGCATGCGCATGATCCAGACGAGCTAACCCACCGCCTCAGACGAAATCATTGACCACCTTCTCGATCAGCCCGAATTCGAGTGCGATCCCATTAACCGTTCAGAAGGCGACACACCTCTTCACAGCGCCATTCGTTGGATCAACTCAGAGCCGCCCGCGCAGCGACCCTTCGGTAACGCCCTCGTCGAGATGATGCTTGAGGCCGGCTCCAGCACACGAGTCAAGAACAAGGCCCGTCTTACCCCCTACCAGCTTGTCGATCCTACAAACACAGAACTCCGCGAAATCATTCAGAAGCATGAGTATGCGAACCAAAATGCTGGAGACTTCATCAATGTCAACAACTCGGCGGGCCATGGTGGAGCCGTGCTCGATGTTCCAGACGACAGTGACGACGATGCCGAGTTCAGTGGAAGTGATGAAGAGGAGAGAGCTGAGTGGGAGAGGAGGCGGAAGGAGAAGCAGCGCAAATAGACGCGCAACATGGCACGTTTGCACGAATTCAGATATAGAGGTTGCTTCACAATAAGACGAGGCGGACCAGTTCATGGGTGGATATAAATCATCAAATCTCGGAGCGATAGAAACTCAAGTAGCTTACGCACAGGTGCAAGAATAAGCATTTCTTATTTAAGGTTGTCGAAAAGGGGGTATAAACGTTCTAATCAGGTATATGGTGCGGTTTCTTCTCCATCGTCTATCATTTCTTCGTACGCGCCCTGTCTACAGTACGGGCATCAAAGGAGTGTACTTGAGATCAGGAGCCAGCCTGAACCCTGGACAAAAGAGAGCTTCACAGCTCCAATGGTTGGGTTTCGCACAAGAACAGTTGCAGCTTATACTAGTAACCAAATTGCAGTTGCCAACGCTGTTGAAGCCATCATGACTTCGATAGGTAGCACATGGTTTCCGAGGCTCCTCTCAGCTACAATATAACTGACATCCCTGAGCTTCTTCTGTGTCACCTCCGATAGGGTGCCAGATTGGGCTAGCTCGTTCATTTCATCCCCAAGTTGTCGCAGGAT